ATGTGCCCATTAAGAATGTAACGGGCAAGAGCGGGAGCGGACTGGCGGCGATGAACCTGCACAACAACGAGGCTGGGAGGCAGGTACGTGTCACCATTCGGAAATGGCAGCAATTGCTTGTTTGGTTTATGCATTGGCAAAATGGCGTCGGCCAAACGAAGCCTGTCCTTGACTGCAGGTACAGATGGGGCCAACGGCAAGAACCGCACTAACACTGCCAAAGCAAACGTGTACAAACCCGGAATCAGAGCTGGTTTTAACTAATCAACTAACTGCACTTTACAGGTTAAAATAAAATCACAAAATAAGAATTAGATCTGGAGTGCTAATCAGAGTAATCTCAAATAGATATTTGATATTCTGTAGCAAACTTGAAATAGTCTTGTTATCAGCATAATACATTAGGAGTTTTTTCACTGATTATTCTGTTGTTATCATGACCTGCATTTTTGATTCTCTCTAATACTGAATGAGCAGGCAGACCGGACACAAGGCATGGTTACCCATCCACAGCCTGGGGTTCGCGTCTGAGAGCAGAAGTCTAGAATCGTTCAGAGAGGAAATTGAGAGTTAACCTTTTCTTTTAAAAGATGGGATGGAAATGACACCTCTATTTTGAAGTAGCTCACTGGTTAGGGCACTCGTCAGAGAAGTGAGAGGAGGCTGGCTTCGGATAGCTCTTCTTCAGGCTAAAGGACTTCAAACCCATGGTTGCAGAGGAAATGTGTGTGTGACATCGGGTCCTCCTGTCCTGTTCTGCGGAGGATGATAAACAGGGGCAGAAACAGCCAATACAGGGAGATGTGAGTCTGTAATCTAGTGCTTGGGGCTTACATCTGGGATAGCAGAGACATGAATTCTGGTTCTTGCTTTCAAATTAGTTTCTCTGCTTTACCTTGGAGTTTTTAACTTTGTGAGTGTTTAATGGCTCTCTCTGGCCCCATAATACCTTAAAACTGTTCTGTTCGGTGACACAGCTATAACTGAAGAAAGGAAATGGAGACCCTCTGGTTTTGACTACACATATTGATGGACTCCATTGTAACTCAGTAATTTCCCGTAGCCAGAAGCAGCATCAGTAGGTTTTACCGAAAACAACTTTCCTATCAGCCATAGACGGGGAGTAGCCATAGACGGGGAATAGCCATAGTAAGCCATCATAAGAGCCGTGGTGGTATCATTGCAATCTATTTTAATTTAAACCAATTTTTGCAGTTTACAAGGTAATATATTTTATTTAATTTAGTTAAGATATATAGTTGGAAAACCAGAAAGTCTTTCAGGGACATAGGCCCTTTACAGGACCAAAGTAGAAGAAACAAACTTTAAAACGAAGTAGATGCTGAGAACAGTTACTGTGAGTTTAACTAGATACCAGTCAGCTAAATCATCTCCAAGGAAAGGTGGTTGGTATTGTGTAGTAGGGGATGTTAATAAGAGGAACAGAA